CCAGTCGGCCAGATTTTCTTTATTTTTTATTTTTACAAATCAAATTCTTATTTATTATAGAAGTTATGTTAGATTTAGAAATTATTATGTTATAAATTAGAATTTATTATGTTGGAACATAGAATTCATTATGTTATAAATTTAGATTGATTATCTTATAGAATTTATTATCATTATGTTAAAAATTAGAAATTATTATGTTATAAATTAAAATTGATTATCTTGTAAAATTATTTTTTACAATATTCGAATTAGTATTAGAAATAAATTTTAATTTTGGAAAAAAAAATATAATTTTAAAAATATAACTATTAATGGTTATACAATTTAATGTATATTTTTTTGTTAGTAGACAATAACCATAAATGTCATTATTTTTTTGACAGATAATTAATATTTTGTCACAGATAATCAGCATAATTGTATATAACATAATAATTTATAAATTCTAACATAATAATAATAAAATTCTATAAATAATAAATTATAATTTATAATATTATATTTTCTAAATTCTAACTATAAGATATTAAATTCTAATTTATAACATAATAATATTTATATTCCAACATATTTTATATAATATAAAATTTGATTATTAAAAAAATTGCGCGGCCTACCGACAAAACGACCATGCACAGTGAGGCCAACCGACAAAATCAGCCGTGCACGGTACGACTGGTTTTGCCGGCCTGCAGGCGAAAGATTTATTTATTTATTTTTACTTATTATAGAAAATGTCAGGGCAATAATTATTTTTAAGTATAAATTGTTATATTATTTAATGTATATTTTTTGTTAGTGAACAATAATTATAAATGTTATATTATTTTTTTACAGATAATTAGTATTTTGTTACAGATAATTAGCATTATCTTATATAGCATAATAATTTATAAATTTTAACATAATAATAATCAAATTCTATAAATAATCAATTATAATCTATAATATAAAATTTTCTAAATTCTAACTATAAGATAATAAATTCTAATTTATAACATAATAATATTTAAATTCTAACATATTTTATATAATATAAAAATTTGATTATTTTTAAAAAAAATTGTGCGGCCTACCGACAAAACCGGTCGTGCATGGTGAGGCCAACAGGAAAAATCGACTGTGCACTGGTTTCACCGGCCTGCCGGCGAAAGATTTATTTATTTGTTTTTACTTTTTAGAAAAAAATGTCAAGGGCAAAACTGTTCAAAGGGGGGAGTAGCCCACTAGCTGTATAAGCTAGTTTCATTTTCTATGTAGAGTAAAAATATAACAACTCACAAGTGATATTCAACACAAACTATATTATCTACAGTTATTTTTACAATGTAATTCTTCCGCAGCTCTTATGTGCATTTTAGCAATTTTTTTTCATAAAAAGACTAACACAATTTTATGGAAAAAGGTGTTTTTGACAAGTTCATTGGCCAAGACAAAAGATTCAAAGAAACCTTGACAGATGACGCTAAGGGACTGCTTAGCTTGTATGAAGCAGCTCACTTGAGAATTGACGGGGAACAAATCTTGGAAGAGGCTGTGACTTTTACAGTCCATCATCTGAAGCGTATGGTACAACAATTAGAATCACCACTACAAGACCTTGTGAAGCGAGCTCTGGAGCACGCCCTCCATTGGGGCCTTCCAAGAATGGAAACTCGTCATTATATTTCCTCTTATGAGAAAGACGACTCGAGGAACAAACAACTTCTTAAACTAGCCAAGTTGGATTTTAATTACGTGCAGAATATATACAAGAACGAGTTACACGAACTCACAAGGTAATCAAATGTTGTTCCATGCATTATAATAGCATACATATGCAATACAATAGATTTCTATTATTTTTGGTTCTTTTAGCTCCAAGAACTTGATATATAAATATATATGGAAAAGTAGGCAATTCAGTTGCAGTTCGTGGTTGAGGTTAAGTTGATATAATATGTTTGTTTTAAAGGTGGTGGAATGAACTAAACCCTCACCTCCCGTACGTGAGATATAGAGTTGTTGCGTGCTATCTATGGGCGCTCACATTCAAGTTTGAGCCGCGATATTCCTATGTTCGTGTGGCTGCCACAAAAGTCCTTCAAATGTTTACACTTGTCGACGATACATATGATAATTATGCTAATATTGAAGAAGCTGATCGATTCACCGAGGCTATGCAAAGGTGTGCCATCCATGTGCCATCCATGAATTTCTGGGAGTGCGTCTTTTTTAGGGAAAAATTTCAACAAATATACACCAAGTTGCACTTTGTTAAAACAAGAGAACATTCATTTGAGTCATATCAAAAGACATACAATTATAATTTGACACGTTGATCAAATATGATTCATTAGACACGTTGATCCGACATTTGATCAAATTTGTCAAATTATTGTATCTCTTTTTACATGACCCAATAAATGTCTCTTTCGAACAACGTCCAATTCGGTATATCTTTTTTGAAATTCGGCCTCTTTTTCAATAGTTAAGTTATGAATTTGTATCAATTTTGTGTGACAAATTGTATCGAATGTATAATAATTGTGTTTAAGTTACTCAGGTGGAATATTGGTGAAACTGATCATCTTCCGGATTATATGAAACCCATTTACAAGTGTGTTTTGAAGATGTATGACGAATACGAACATGAAGCTGTCGAACGAGGGAAACCATTTGCAATTCCTTATGCCAAACAAGCTGTAAGAACCATATATAGTTCTTTATTGACCCAACCTGTTCAGTTATATTCGAAATTCCATTTCCGAACCATTAACTTAATCATTTCACTCACATATATATGCTTAGCCTTACAGTTTATTGGTACCCCTTATAATAATATTCATCGGTTGCATTGGACCCAGATGAAAGATGTATGTAGTGCCTACAATAAAGGGCTCAAGTACACTATGGGAGCACCACTGCCTTCATTCGAAGACTACATTCAGATGACGATTATCACAAGTTGCATCTATGTGGCTTGCTCTGCTACGTTCCCGGGCTTGAAATCTGTATGTGACGAAACCATAGATTGGTTTAAGAGTGAGCCCAAAATCATTAGACATGCGACTGAGGTGTGCCGGTACTTGGATGATGTGGGCAGCTATGATGTAAGAAATAATTACTAATCACATTGTATAAATCCAATATATACTAGACCTACCGCAATATATATGATTAACATTTTTCCTTTTTATTTGTTTATTTTTTGGACTAAAGCGCGAGAGGCACGAGGGAGCACTCTTGACAGGTTTGGATTTCTACATGAAATATCATGGTGGGACAGTGCAAGAGACTATAGATAAGTTTATCCACCTAGCTGAGGATGCTTGGATAAATTTTAACACCGAATGGATTATGAACATTAAAAGCAGTGGTGTCCCCAAGGATGTAGCAGAGGAGATTCTTGGCTACGCTCGAGTAGCCTACACTTCTTACAAGAATGGACGGGACGGATTTGCGAAATTTCATGTTATGGCACCCGAAGTCGAAGGCCTCTTTCTAGAACCCATTATCATCTAACATCTTCCCACAATCAACTCTGTTTCCTATATAATCAGACGAACATAAAATCTTGTTCCAGTTTTAATAAAGTTTTTTGTAATGCTTTTTCTTGCATGTGTGTGTCATGTTTCAGTTTGCTAGACGGCGTGAAATGAAGTTGGGTATGATCACAACCTTTGTTTGTAGGCTATATTTCATTTTTGTTATATTATGTTGGTCATTTTTCGAAAAAAGTTTATCATATAGGGTGTCATCAAGAATGGCCTACCACATTGTCATTTTTCATCAAAACTCTCGTACAATAGCCAACATAGTTTATTAAAGATGACAGTCACTTTTAGTACACTATGTTGACTTTTGTACGAATTTTGATTAAAGTGGAAACTCAGTGGACCATTTTTTATGACGCTCTATATGATGGAAATTTAGTGGACTCTTTTTTAAATTTTCCCTCTGTTTGTATGGCTATTGTGGTATAGATATATATAATGCTCATAATAATTTGTCTGCCCTGTGCAGTAAAAGGTAGTTGAATCTCCTCCCTCATTCTCTTAGACTTATTAATTCTTCTATATAATTCAATACAAACATATATTTAATTGGATATCTAATAAATGGTTGGTTGAAGGATATTGACATATGGTGGTAACAACACCACATAATTGTAATGGTGAAATGATAGTCAGAAAGTAATAAACTTTATATATAATATAATTATGGACAAAATATTATATAGAATTATATTTCCTATTCAATTGAATTAATAGACTCAATTAAAGAATCTAAATAAAGTAGCGGTCTATGAGCTACGTAATTGAAATGGGCTGATTGAGTGGATAGCTAATATTATTAGGGTTAGGTGATAATATGTGGTCTACGAAAGAAATATATAAAGACCCTATTAGTTATGTTCCTCAACATACAAAATCAAACAGTTCTCTTTGTTAGATTTTAGACGTACGAACCCATCACACGCGCATCGGAATTTTAATATTTTTCTTACCAACAATGAAGATCCGGCTATAGCTATTCGATATGATCCTAGATAGCGTGAATGATCAGCTAAAACTTACTGTTGTTCGTCTATCTCCTCGACTATGGTATCCACGCAATCCAGTTTCCCGATACACGATCTAACGCCAATGAATCTCTAAGATTTTTGGATCTATCGAAGTGTTTTTCTCTTTTCATCGTTCCATCGATTGATGATTATGAAGAGATAATGAGATATTTATAATTAGGTCAAAACCTAATTATATGGGCCTTAAGTTACCCTACAACCCAATAGGTAATTGAACCTAATTCAATTAATATTTTAATTAAATATAAATCTATTTTAACATAATTAAATATTTTCCAAGTATAAATTCAATCTAACTTAATTAAATATTTTCTATCTAATAGAAAATAATCTCATTACTCATAAATATAATTTTCAATCGAATTGAATATTTAATACTCTCGGTTCACTCTTAGTCAGAAAACTGATTGCATATTGTATGACCCTATTGGCCTTCATATATTGACATAAATCTGATTTACGATCCTTACGAAACTCCTAGACTGCGTCGAAGGACAAACTCAAAATATGAAATACGTTTACATGGACAAGCAAACAAACTTGTTGTGTAGAACTCAATGGTGATACGGTCCCTTCATTCACGAACCACTTGATTAAGCTTAGGATTTGAACGTGTATCTATCCAAATAACTTAATCATTTTATCTCATCTTACTGGTTGATTTTATCAATTATATTTGAACACCATTTCAAATATAATCACGTGCATTGGCCAATGACTTTATCAACCCAGTATAGAGAAAACGATTGTTCTCTCGAAACCATATTCGAGGAATTAATCCTATTTTGGCTCAACTACCAATTCCATGTATATCGTGATCTACCCAACACGAGCCCGTGTCTACCCAAAGGGCGTAAGCGTTGGACTAGGTCTAAGTAGATCACTCTATATATGAATTATGTATTGACCTCAAGTCAAATGACTATTACACCGTTCTACACACCGATACTCTCATAGACACATAAACAAATGGTTTATCGGTGGGGTATGCCAATACTCTCCAAAGTATCATTGTGTCAATCACAAATGACAATCATTCATAGTAGTGAGACATACTATATTCTCTATGAATATGATGCAGACCACATGTCAATCTATCACGTATCATTAATATCTCTTTCTTAATTATCATCGATTGAGGCGATTTGAAAGTTATACTTTATTAATTGACATCTCTCTGTTAATGACAATATCAACTCAAGGGAGTAATTAATTAATATTACAAACAATCAGACAATTATTTAATTAATTGCAATACCATCATTATAATCCAATATAATTATTAAAGTGATCATGTATATATGTCCTTAAAATGATTGTCTTTAGGACACATATACCAACAATCTCCCACTTGAACTAGAGGCAATCATCAATGTATCTAATATCCATTTTCTCGAAATGACTATTGTGCTCAACTATACACAATGGTTTGGTGAACGAACCATTCAAGTAATGTTCAGCTTGAACACGTTCTAACTTATTTCTCATCTATCAATTATCTCTAAATAAATAATAGCGCATTTGTACATGTTTATTTTGTTCAGTGGCGGAGGGAAATGAAGACCAGTGTGGACCTAGGCCCACAATGGAAAAAAAAGGCTACATATATATTGCCCATATATAAGCCTACATATATAGCCCATATTATTTTGACCCTTTCATAGTAGTGGGATTAGATTGGAAAAAAATGAAAAAAAGTCTACATACATATGGCCCATACATAAGCCTACATATATATAGCCCATATATTAGTCCATATTAGCCTAGTTAATTCAGTTAAAGGACTTAACAAAAGAAAATCTAACATCAACATAATTTATTTAAAGTTGCTCTTCACGCACGCAGGCAACATAACATCAGTACAGAGCAAAAACAAAACGACAGAAAAGATACATAGCAAAAACAAAGCGACAAGAAAAGAGGGGAAAGAGGAGAAGAGAAAAAATAATAATCAAAAGGTTATCAATTTTTTGTCCAATTGTACTAAAATCCTTTTATGTTTATTTTGGTGAAGATAAATATTATTCATCTTTATTTTTTAGGTATTGGTAAATATGTTATTTTTATGTAGAAATTACAAATTAAATCCATATGGTGCTTATAGCTCTTTAATGTGTGATATATCAAAATAACGAATTTCATTTATTGTAAATTTATAATATTACTTTCGTATATCAGATATGGAAAGATATTTTCAAAAGAGACCCCGTCAACATATTGTTTGTGAAAATGTCTGTGAAAGAGATACTTTGAATCCAAATGGATTTGAGGGAAATTCTGGTATTACTGGACAGGAAGAAAATGCGACTGGAAGTTTAATGGTGATCGCGAGGAGTTCGATTCTTCTCAACTTCCCTCTGATCACGGATAGAGAATTTCAATCTCAAGGTATAGTCCAAAGATTAGAGACCAAGTTCGAAGAGCATATTTGCAGAAAGGTCCTTTGTCAACCGTTTGATCACCATTTTTCATGACGAAAGCCTCAGCGTCATCAACAAAGACCAGGAGATTTATTGCTGGTTGGTTTACTAAAAATGAGTGGTTGGAGTATAACATTTCCAAAGATGTTGCATATTGTCTATTGTTATATTTTTAAATCAAATAGAGGAAAACAATCAGGGAGGGGAGGGGGGGGGGAAACCTTTGTTACAGAAGGATTTAGATCATGGAAAGAAAAATGAAGACTTGATGTTCATGTCGGGAAACATGACAGTGAACACAATCAAATGCGCATGAATTGTGATGCACTGATGAATCAAAATGTGCACATTCAAACAACTCCAGAAAAACAATCTAAACAAGTGAGAGATGATTATCGCATTCGGCTCACTGCATCCCTTGACTGTGCACGACAGTTGTTGCGATTGGGGCTACCTTTCAGGGGTCATGATGAATTGAAGGATTCTCTTAATCCAGGTAATTTTCTTGCCACTCTGGAATTTTTAAGAGCTCATAATGATGGTATTGCTTCGGTGGCAATGGAAAATGCTCCTGAAATTGCAAGTTAACAGCTCCTTGCATTTTGAAAGATTTATCTCATGCTTGCGCCGCAGAAACGATTAATGCGATATTAAAAGATATCGGGGATTCTTTTTTCTCTATTTTGGTTGATGAATCACGTGACATATCAACTAAAGAGCAAATGTCTGTCATCTTGAGATATGTAGAATCTTGTGGTCATGTAAAAGAACATTTTATTGGAGTTGAACATGTCACAACTACTAAGAAAATTTCTCTTAAAGATGCTATTTTCAAGATGTTGTCGAGATTGTTTAGTATAGATTTGATGGGCAAGGGATAACCGAGCTACCCGACTCGGGTCGATCTCGAAGGAAGGCTATTCGGAGCTTTATCTACTAAATGATCGTTCAAATCACAAAAAGGGAAAATAAAATCCTAAACATTCTAAGCAATGGATTGGATGGTTGATTAACACTAATCGAGCACTTAAAAATGAGCAATTAACTAAAAGCAAGATCAAATGACGAGCAATTAGCAAATTAGATCACCGGAGTCTCATGCCATGACCATATCGGGATGATAATCAATCGACAAACGGAATAAACGAGCTACGAGCATTAGATTACTAACCCTAGTCGTCTAACCGAGATCAACAAGCAATTAACGGCTCTATCTACTCAAGCAAGCAATCAAGTTCAAGCATTCCCACCATCATCAATCAAATCCAACTTTACTTTAATGAACATTATAAGTAAAACCGGAGCAAAAACGGAAGTAAAGAGCTTTAAAACTAAATACTCATTCTCCCATTGCGTAGACGATGAAAAACGGAGTCAAAAGCTCGAAACTTGAAAGAAACCGAAGTCGCCGGAAAATCTCCCAGAAAATAACATAAACACCTAATCTAGAGAGCAAAAATAAACATAAGCTAATTTCCCAATGTGGGAAAAGTGAAAAAATGAGAGAATGATCCCCA